AGTGACTACCGTGTGTGGCTTGCCCTCCCTCTTCCTTGTGCATTTCCCTCCCATATCAAGACCTTCAGATCGAGGGCAATGTGGACCATTTCCCAGTTTTCCAGCTGGGCAACTCACCAAGAACAAACCCAGACATCAAGCCCAGACCAAAAAAATCTTCTTGTTTTAGACAGAAGACTCCTACATCTGGGGGATTTAATGCACCCACTGTCCGCGCAGCGCATTTCCTGTGTCCGGAGCTTCTCTGCCTGCCGGCTCTGGTCTCGCAAGTTTCCATACCCTGCTGCCAACTTATAATAACAGAGGCAGCAGGCAGCCGGGTAGGAACGTCATAGCCCACTCTGTATGTGGGCGCATGCTTTGCAAACTGAAACAAAGCTTGGAAGGTCTTGTTGCAAGCCTTTAAGCCTTGACAGTGGTTGTACCCAGACCACCAGGAGCCTGGAATTAAATACCCTCAGATCCAGTTCTCAACCATTAATGTTATCAACTCCATCAAGTACTTCCTCTTTGAACAGTGTCTGCAGAGAAATAAATAAATCAAGCTCCTCCAAGTCCTGTTCCTGCCCGGATCCTGAGTCAGAGGTAAAATCTGAGTTGAATTATCTAGAGCACTGTCTCCCTCCTTCATTGTTCCCAAAGATCTGGGCAGGAACGGAGAGTGAAATCTCTCCAGGACATTACATCAGTTCCTCTTTTACCCTTGGCATGAAAGTTCTTCCTCTCATAGTCCTCCCAGACTTCCTAAGGCTTGCCCTGAGTGCAGCCCACACACTGAGCCTTGAAGCCCAGGACATCAAAGAAAGCCTGCAGGTAACCAGATTACTGACCAACGCCTTTGTCCGTTCTGAAATTTATAAGACGGGAAATGGATTCAGGAAATGGGACTTTTTTTCAATATATGGTCTCCATCATCCTTAAGTATTTTTAAACCTTAATAAGCTTTTAAGTAAAGAGAGACATTCTATAAATGACAATTAGAAGAAAATATATGAAAGTTCAAAATGAAACTATCTTCAGTAGTTACTGACAATGATCATACTCTGTGACCAATGAAAAGTGAACCATGGACAAAAGATAAATCCATTTTTATGGGAAGAAGAATTGAGATCTAAAAGAGGTCCATGTTAGCCATTAAAAAAAAAAAAGGAAAGAAAGAAAGAAAAAAAACCTTACCTTGTCCCCAGAAGATTACAGATCATTTCTATCATAAAATTATTCTGATAGTTATCCATTCAAGTTAACTCCATTGGCATAGTTAGTATCCTGTAAAATGAGAAAGTTACTGCTTGTTATTCCAACCTGTGTCTTTGTGAGGTTGATTAAGCACTTAAAAAGGAAATTTTTCATAATGGAAATTATGAAACCTATACAAAAGTAGAGAGACTTGGATAAGGAAGCACCACATACCTATTACCAGTTTTGATCATCAATCACAGCCAGCCTGTTTCCTCTGCCCCCCACTTACTCTCTCCTTCACCTTCCCAGATTATTTTAAAGCAAATCCCAAATATATATTTTCATCTGTAGAAACATCGGCACATGTCTTAAAAGAAAAGGACTCAATAAAACCATAATCATAGATTTAGCACATCAACCAAAAACTAGTATTTCCTCAGTATTATCAAATGTCCTATTATGGGTTAAGTTTTCCCAACTATCTTGTAAATGATTTTTACAGTTTGAATCAGAATCCAAACAAGAGTTTATACAATGCAAGGGGTTGATGTGTCTCTTAAGTCTCTTTCAATCCACAGTGGATCCTTCTTGTATAAGCCTTTGAGAGCTCTCTCATGCATGCTTATGATCTTTATTTCCTTGTTTTTTTTTTTAAGCTAGCCATTAATAGCATAACTTTTTTCCATATATATTACAGATTGAGAGTATCCCCAACTTAAAATGCTTGGGTCCAGAAGTCTTTTGGGATTTGGGATTTTTTTTTCAGATTTTGGAATATGTACATATATATACAATGAGGTAACTTGGTGAGGGGATGCAAGTCTAAATAGCCTGAAGGTTATTTTATATAATATGTTTAATAATTTTGTTGATGAAGCAAAATTTCATGGTATGGAATTTTCCACACGTGGTGTCATGTTGAGGCTCAAATAGTTACAGATTTTGGAGCATCTGAAATTAACATTAAGGATGCTCAGCATGAATCTCCCTCCTCCCCCAACACACACACTCACCTACGTCCTTCCCCAGCTACTTTCAAACTGCTCATTTTGTTTTTTAATGGTCTATTTTCTCTTTTCACAGCTTCTGTCATCACTCATTATGACCACCCTTTCCTTTAAGTGTGTGAACTTATTTATAATAGCTACGTCATTTTTGCTAATTCCAGCATCTAGATTACCTCAAGATCTGTTTCTGTTGATTGCCTTTCTTCTTAATTATATGTCACATTTCTTCTTATGTCTAGAAGATTTTTATTGGATTCTGAAAATTATAGATAAACACAATTTAGAGATTTTGGATTATGTTATATTCCTCTGAAGAGTTTTTTGTTGTTGTTGTTGTTGTTTTGTTTTGTCCTATCTGGCAGCTAATTTATTAAACAGTCACTTCAGAGTTGTGGAGGCTTGGTCTTAAGTTTGATTGGGCCAAATCTGTTTCTTTGTTGGGATCTCGGCAAGATCCCTTTGTCTTAGAGCAGAGTCTACTCCTAAGATATGGCAGTTCTGGGCTAGTAGACATCTAGAAGTGTTTACAGAGCCTTCTCACTTGATGAGAATCAAACTCTGAACACTATTTCTATTGTCATAGCCAGTTGCCGAGACTTCTGCTTATACCTACCAACCATACAACTATTGCTTTTGAGTGAACTCCTTAAAGCTGCCCTGCACGTATACTGTTTAGGAATCAGACAAAAATCATAACTCTTACATGACAATTCAGTAGCTCTCCCTCTGAGTTTCTCCCTCCTTTATTAGAAATGCTTCTGTAATTTTCTGCCATTTTAACCTCTACATATCTACCTCAAGTAACTTTCTGTTCATCTTCTAATGCCCCTATGCTTCATGCACTAAAGTACTCTCAGGAGAATAGCTATATTAATATGGATCTCCTGTGCACATCCCTTCTCTCGAGAATAAAATCCTCTTCAGTTTTTGTCTGCTTTTGGTCATTCACTAATATCTTCAAATGGGTTTTTTGGTTTTGGGGTTTTGTTTTGTTTTGTTTTGTTACCAGGGATTGAACTCAGGGGCACTGAGCCATACCCCCAACCCTACTTTGTATTTTATTTAGAGACAGGGTCTCACTGAGTTGCTTAGCACCTCGCTTTTGCTGGGGCTGGATTTGAATTCACAATCTTCTTCCTCCTTCCTGCCTCAGCCTCCCGAGCTGCTGGGATTCCAGGCTTGCACCACTGCACCCAGCTCAAATGCTTTTTTAAAACATTTCTTTGAAGAAAGAGTAGTCTCATATAAGCCACTCTGCATTACTGAAACTAAAACTCCTCTTTATTACATAAGTGGTAGCAGATCTAAGATCTTCTTTTCATGGCACCATTTACCATAGATATCAGCCCTTAGCAATGTATTGAGATGCTCCTAATTCCTTTTGACAGTTTTATAGTACTCTATTATTTAGAGATATATTATAATTTATTAACAAATCTTATAGTGATAGCTATTCCAATGAATGACTTCAAGATGATCTTGTAATATCATGAACAGTGTTTCTTTTGTTTATGTCTCATGTGATAGGTGTGATCTAATAGAACTTAAAAAGCAAAAAATTCTTTATTTTCCTGATAATCCAGTAGGAAACATGAAGAAAATACCTCCTTCTGTCTCTGTTAACTGACTCTATTTGATTCCCATATCCCTTTTATGCATTCTTCATATGCAGATTGTCTTAATGGAAAAAGATGATATCTCAATCTTAACTCAGAATCATAGGCAAGTCTTTGACCAGAATTGGAATCAGCAAGTAGGCACAGCCTTTTGGTGAGACAGCTCTGGGAACACATGTGGCCAGAGACCTTATTGAGATGGATGTGAGATTCTATAGAAAGCTCCATTTTTCATGGGTGGATCCCTGTCCTTCTGAGTCTTAGCAGGAGCCCCTGAAACCACATATGGGCTGGTCCATTCCTCAACCCAGTGCCCAGAGCTGCTCCTGTTGATGAGTTGTGCACTGCTATCCTCACCAGCTCGTAAGTTCAAGTAGGATGGGGTGCCTGTGTCGTTGGGGTACCCACCCCTCCTCCTGATTTCCAATCTGAGCATTTATAGGGTCTATGTACTTGGAAGGGTGCTACTAAAAGTTCTTCAAGGGCAACATGATTGTCATTCTGTAAATTAGGGCCACAGTGTATGCTGAGAGCAAGTTTTGATAGGACTTTGTGTCCTAGTTTCTATGTGACAAAGTGACAGATATTGTAATGAGTATACAAATCCCAGAATCTGCCGAGAGTCTGATTCTAATCTGCCAACTGGCTGTGTGACCTTGGGTAAGTTGCCTATATCTTGGTTTTATCATCTGCAGAATAGGGGTGATAGTGATGTTTCCCGCTGAGGAGCATTGTAAGTTTTAAACAATAAAATCCAGGACCAGGACCTAGTCATTGTTAATCATCATCATTATTATTAGCAACAGTTCCTGGAGAGAGTATAAAAATTGGGTTATGAAAATGTGAGTCAGTAAGAGCATCTAGAGAGAAACCCTAAGGACCCGTCACCTCTGAAACCTACATGGAAGAGTCAAGTGAGAAAAAAGTAAAGCATAGAAATTGGGCTCAATTGTGTCTCTCAGCTACTTCTAGGTGAGGAATTGGAATGTTTGAAGACATTCCTAACTTGTCTAACATTGGGGAAACAGTTTCAGGTATGTGTACTTGCATTTCATTTAAGCAATGGAAAGGATGCTCTGCATCCCAGGGAGAAAGCAGCCCCATGGACATACACAGCTGCCCATAGATCCCTCATGAGACCCACCCCTGGCCTGCCCGTTCACTGGGGTCTGTGATTGTGTTTCCCTCTGCCCCACAGATAACTGTGTCCAGAGGACCCCCAGGCCATCCGTGGAGAGCGTGCACCACAACCCTCCCACCATTGAACTCTTGCACCGCCCTAGGTCACCCATCACGACCAACCACCGGCCTTCTCCTGACCCCGAGCAGCGACCCCTTCGATCCCCCCTGGACAACATGATCCGCCGCCTCTCCCCGGCCGAGAGGGCCCAGGGACCGAGGCTCCACCAGGAGAACAACCACCAGGAGTCCTACCCCTTGTCAGTGTCTCCCATGGAGAATAATCACTGCCCGCCATCCTCCGAGTCCCACCCGAAGCCCTCCAGCCCCCGGCAGGAGAGCACCCGAGTGATCCAGCTGATGCCCAGTCCCATCATGCACCCTTTGATCCTGAACCCCCGGCACTCCGTGGATTTCAAACAGTCCAGGCTTTCCGAGGATGGGCTGCACAGGGAAGGGAAACCCATCAACCTCTCTCATCGGGAAGACCTGGCCTACATGAACCACATCATGGTCTCCGTGTCCCCGCCTGAAGAACACGCGCTGCCCATTGGGAGAATAGCAGGTGAGTGAGCTTGCCTATCCCTCTCACGCCTCTCCAGCATCAGGGGCACCTGACAGAGCTCTGCTGCCCTCTGAGAGTCTCACAGTTGGCCTCACCATTCCTGATTAGGTGCCCACAAAGGCTCTGGGAGGGCAACTGGAGGCTTCTGCCTAGATGAGGCAGGATCCCTAATGGCCTGGCTAATGAGCCGCTGGGATGGCGTAGTTAATGAGCCTCAGAAATGTTAAGAAACAAATGTCCTGCACACAGCTTACAAGGAGAGTCACACCAGAATCATGGCTAAGCGAAAACATTTAAAATAAAAGGTTTATGAGCATGCTAATGGCCCTGTCCTGGAGTTTCCAGCAGCTAATTAATGACCAGACACAGCATAAAGAACCTTTGTCTCGGAGTCATGGCCGTATCCATCCTATGGGCAGTGACTCAGTGTAACTTTCACCTTGGGAGCAGGGAAGAGAGGAAAACTGGATTGTGGTAGTAGATGCTAGTGTTGTTAGGTCATTTGGTCAGAGGAAACCACTCCCAAGTTCTTTTTCTTCTATGATGACAAGCCCAAATTTGCTTACCTAAGACAAGAAGCCAGTGGAAACCAGTAGGGGAAAAAAAAAAAATCTACGCCTTGCCTTTTTGCTAGTCTGCTAACGATTAACATACAATCACTCTCCAAAAAGCCTCGTGCTCTGTTGGGCAAGGCAAACTCTTCCCAGAATGTCTGTCCATTCATGGGACATTTGTTGAGCACCTACTATGTACAGATAAATGCATTAGGTACACAGCATACAGGGCTGATTGTTAACACACAGTAGCTTTTTGCTCAGGGAATTGAGAACTTAGTGAGAGAAGCAAAACAGGAAAAACACTGACATACAAGGGCAAAAGGAAATAAGTTCAACATCTAATTTTTTTCGGTGCCAAGCATTCATTGAATACCTACTGTGTGCCAGAATAATAAAGCGAAGCAGAAAGAAGGTACATTTTGACTAGAGGGATCAAAAAAAGGCTTTTCAGGGGAGATACTGATGTGATTATGCTTTCAGTAGTGGGAGGGAGGCCTGGAGGAAGAAGATATGTCCTTCTGTCCATGAGCTGGTGCTCCAGCTAGCCATCTGGATGCATAGACATTTCTGCAGGACTGCTTCACCTCCACCTTGACTCATTATCTCTTTTTTATTTAAGCCATTTGTTTCTTGAGTTTTCTCTGGTCCCAATTACACCTCCCATGTTGCCTCTTTTTGTTGTTATAAGTGATTTACATTAGGAATGTTGAATCAAGAAAATAAAATAGAGGCTGGAGGCATAGCTCAATGGTAGAGCACTTGCCCAGCATGTGGAAAGCTCTGGGTTTCGTCCCCAGCTCTTAAGAAAAAACAGAAAGGAAGAAAATGAGGGAGGTCAGTGGGTTCTCGTGGACCACTCCTGGAGGCTGTTAACCTACAAGAAATGACTCATATGTTGAAAAGAGTTTTTTTAAAAAATTGGAATATGTTTGGGATTCAACTGAAAATCCTCCCACAGGTTTGGGTGATGGGAAGTGGGTGGGGTAAACAGGACAGGTTAGCCAGGAGCTGGCTGACAGTTTCTTGGTGATGGATGCACAGGGGTTCTCATTATTGTTCTCTCCACTTTTACACATATATTAATTTTTGTGTGCGTGGTGCTGGGTATTGAACCCAGGGCCTTGTACACACAAGGCAAGCACTCTACCAACTGAGCTATACCCTCAGCCCTACATTAATTTTTTAATAATATAAAAAGAAACTATGCGGGGGTGGGGAGGAAGGAACAGAAAATAAAAAAGCAAAGAGCCGGGGCAAAAACACATGAATTTCCTCAGATATTGGAGACAGAGCGGGGGAATAATATAACGACCTCTCTTGTGCTTTCCAGGCAAGACCCCTTTTGTCTACATAAACCCTTCTCATATGGTCTGTACTACTTGATATTTTCACATCTTCTTTACTCACTTATAATTCTCAGGGCAGCTCTTTGAGGTAGATTTTTACTGCTATATTCATTTTATGTGGAAGGGCTCTTTGTACAGGGGAAACCACAGAGAGAATTGGACCACAGAAGGAATTGAGACCCAGAGAGGCAACATCCTTTGCCCAAGGTCAGGTGGCCTGCTGCCCCATTGGTGGCTGTCCATAGTGCTGCCCTCCAGAGGTCTGACTTCCTCATCAAGAGTCAAGATCTGTCACGTCCACCTCCTCCCTGACCCCATCTTAACCACAGACTTCTTAGGAATCTAAGATTAGCCCATATATTCAGAAAGATATACTGTTTTAGACTTAAGGAGTTGTTTCCCCTTGTTTAATAGGTTTGTCAACTTTAAATCATCTGTCCCTTAAAATCATTCCACTGTTTTTTTTTAATTAATTAACTTATTTTAATTAGGTATATATGACAGCAGAATGCATTTTGATTCATTGTACAATTGCAGCCAACTTTACATTTCTATGGTTGTACATGATGTAACATCTCACCATATGTGCAGTCATACATGTACCTAGGGTAATTATGTCCATGTCACTTTTTTTGTTTTTGTTTTGTTTGTTTGTTTGTTTAATCTCATTCCTGGACACAGCATTGTTTTCTGATGGATGCAGACTCGTCAAACTTTGTACCACCCAAGCAATGAGCCTTGGTATCTCTGTTGTCCTCTCTCTTTAAGAACACACAGAGAGGAAGAGCCTCTGATTTTCTTTATGAATCCCGGAAGTCAAAATGTTCATGTAAAATAATCCTGGAGCCAGATCCTATGGGGCAATGCATTAACTCCTTCAGTAAGACAGATTATTAACATTCTAATGATATATTCAAAAGTTTTAAAATCTCCAAATATATGCATTAACTAATTGAACCAAATCCAAGATGAACGAAATTTAACTGCAAGGCATTGTTTTTCTCAGAGGTCAAAAGACAGATTTGGAGAGGGTGAGTTCTGAAGTTCCTTCCCACTCTGCAAGTCGGCAATCTAACACTGTCTTTATTCCATAACCCTCTGAAGAGGTCTTGTCACAGTGTTAGGTATCTCCAGGTACCCCTGCCTCCCTACCCCATGCCCCTGATGTCTTTCTGGACGACTCAGATCCTTGAAAAACTGATCCATCTATTAGAGGTCGAATTCCTTGAGTGATCTCTATGTATGACTTAAGGTTCTGTCATGACCGAGCAGCCACAAGAAGCCTTTAAATCTCTATAAAGCAGCTGTTAGATGAGAACACTTAGTTCCTTAAGGCTCTTTAAATGAGCAGAGCACAGAAAGAAATGAAGATACTGCCAAATGTCACCCAGATGAGTGCCACAGCTGGAGGGTATAGATGGCAACATTACTCATGGATGTGGGTCAAAAACAAAGTCGGATTCCCACCATTCACATATCATTTGCCTCAATACACTAGGACTTCGACATTCAGACACCTTCTGTGTTTATGGGACTGTACTGCGCTCCTGTGAGGTGGGAGTTCACGAAGGTGTAAGGCACAGGCTCTATCAGGAAAGAGCTGAGCAGAGTTAGCTGTAACCGTGAAGCGGTGATGCGTGTCTTAGTACTGGAGGAGGCCAGGGCGGCCGCTTAGAGGGCAGCCTTTAGCTGGGCTTGGAAGAACGCTGAGAATATAGACAAGAGGAGGTTAGAGAAGAAGAGGTCACTCCAGCTAGAGAAAACTCCCAGGAGCAAACACAACCTAAGGCCCAGGGTATTTTTTTTTTTCCCTACTTCAGGTAGAAATTTAAATTTACCATTTAACCTGGTCAATTAAAAGGATCAGTTTTCATAAAATTCTCTTTCTTGTAATGTTTGAATATTTCTGAAATTATGGTGCATTGTACAGTTAAAAGACTAGACGCAAAACTGTGACAGTTTACCTGGGTATTCACCATATGGAAAAAAACAAAATAATTGATAAAGGAAATTCAGTAGATGGTTGACAGATCACAAATTAGATCTAGTTAAATATAACATGTAGCTTTTTTTTTTTTTTTTCCGAGAGGATAAGGACTATTATTAAGAGCTTAACAAGTTGGAGTGACAAGTTCCCTGGGATCTGTTTTTTTATCGAATAACCAATGATGTATGTAACAATGAGTAACCTGCTTCTTCCTGTGATATTTTCTATTTATTATCTTCAGGAAAGGATTGTAGGAGGGTTAGTGCAGGAGTGGGAAGCATAACTATCTACTAGAACATTTCTCTATCTACAAAAGTTTTACTGTAGACTGTGTCCCACCTGTGTTTCATAGGCAAAGGGACTAGCTGGCCATGAGCACCCACAGATTGATGAGTTGTGACCCCTAATAATGCTGGGAGTCACATTTTTAGTATGCACAGCAGTTTCCCCTAGCCTATGGTTTCAGTTACCCGTGGTCAATCAAAATCTGAAAATATTAATGGAAACTTCCAGAAAGTTACAAGTTTTAAATAACTTATTATAGTATATCAGTATAATTGTTCTATTTTATTATTAGCATTGTAACCTCTTACTGTGCCTAATTTATAAACTAAACATTATCTTAAGTATGCATGTGTAGGGAAAAACAGCATATCTATGGTATCCTGTATTAGATTCAGGCGTCACCACTGGGGGTCTTAGAATTTATTCTGCATGGATAAGGGGAACTACTTATATTGAAATTCCTTCTTAAGATTAGATAATTTCAAAGCTAGAAGCATCCTTTACACATGAAGGAACTGACATTCAGACACATTAGTATTGCACCCTCCAGCCTCTGTCTACTGCTTTTCCCAAAATGCTGTTTCTTTCTGCCCTGGGTCTCTTGTCCATTCCTTGGAGCAAGGATTAAAGGTCTAGCTAAATCCAAACACCACCTCTTTTTTATAAATTAGGTGTTAGTAGAAAATAGTAGGTGTGTGTCTACTTTCATGCTGCACTGGGAGTAGAATTGAGTGGTTCCAGAGATTGTGTGGCCACAAAGCCTCAAGTGTTCACTAATTAGCTCTACACAAAAGGCTGCTCCTGTGCTACAGCGTTGTTTACCTG